TCTCTATAGTGCACTACTGTAACACATCTCTATAACACACTACTGTAACACATCTCTATAGTGCACTACTGTAACATCTCTATAGTGCACTACTGTAACATCTCTATAGTGCACTACTGTAACACATCTCTATAGTGCACTACTGTAACATCTCTATAGCGCACTACTGTAACATCTCTATAGCGCACTACTGTAACATCTCTATAGCGCACTACTGTAACATCTCTATAGTGCACTACTGTAACATCTCTATAGTGCACTACTGTAACATCTCTATAGCGCACTACTGTAACATCTCTATAGTGCACTACTGTAACATCTCTATAGCGCACTACTGTAACACATCTCTATAGTGCACTACTGTAACATCTCTATAGTGCACTACTGTAACATCTCTATAACACACTACTGTAACACATCTCTATAGCGCACTACTGTAACATCTCTATAGCGCACTACTGTAACATCTCTATAGCGCACTACTGTAACATCTCTATAGTGCACTACTGTAACATCTCTATAACACACTACTGTAACACATCTCTATAGTGCACTACTGTAACATCTCTATAGCGCACTACTGTAACACATCTCTATAACACACTACTGTAACATCTCTATAGCGCACTACTGTAACATCTCTATAGCGCACTACTGTAACATCTCTATAGCGCACTACTGTAACACATCTCTATAGCGCACTACTGTAACACATCTCTATAGCGCACTACTGTAACACATCTCTATAACACACTACTGTAACACATCTCTATAGCGCACTACTGTAACACATCTCTATAACACACTACTGTAACACATCTCTATAGCGCACTACTGTAACATCTCTATAACACACTACTGTAACATCTCTATAGCGCACTACTGTAACATCTCTATAGCGCACTACTGTAACATCTCTATAGCGCACTACTGTAACATCTCTATAACGCACTACTGTAACATCTCTATAGTGCACTACTGTAACATCTCTATAGTGCACTACTGTAACATCTCTATAGCGCACTACTGTAACATCTCTATAGTGCACTACTGTAACATCTCTATAGTGCACTACTGTAACATCTCTATAGCGCACTACTGTAACATCTCTATAGTGCACTACTGTAACATCTCTATAACGCACTACTGTAACATCTCTATAGTGCACTACTGTAACACATCTCTATAACACACTACTGTAACACATCTCTATAGCGCACTACAGTAACACATCTCTATAGCGCACAACTGTAACATCTCTATAACACACTACTGTAACACATCTCTATAGCGCACTACAGTAACACATCTCTATAGCGCACTACTGTAACACATCTCTATAGCGCACTACTGTAACATCTCTATAGTGCACTACTGTAACATCTCTATAGTGCACTACTGTAACATCTCTATAGCGCACTACTGTAACATCTCTATAACGCACTACTGTAACATCTCTATAGTGCACTACTGTAACATCTCTATAACACACTACTGTAACACATCTCTATAGCGCACTACTGTAACACATCTCTATAACACACTACTGTAACATCTCTATAGCGCACTACTGTAACATCTCTATAGCGCACTACTGTAACATCTCTATAGTGCACTACTGTAACATCTCTATAGCGCACTACTGTAACATCTCTATAGTGCACTACTGTAACATCTCTATAGTGCACTACTGTAACATCTCTATAGCGCACTACTGTAACATCTCTATAGTGCACTACTGTAACATCTCTATAACGCACTACTGTAACATCTCTATAGTGCACTACTGTAACACATCTCTATAACACACTACTGTAACACATCTCTATAGCGCACTACAGTAACACATCTCTATAGCGCACAACTGTAACATCTCTATAACACACTACTGTAACACATCTCTATAGCGCACTACAGTAACACATCTCTATAGCGCACTACTGTAACACATCTCTATAGCGCACTACTGTAACATCTCTATAGTGCACTACTGTAACATCTCTATAGTGCACTACTGTAACATCTCTATAGCGCACTACTGTAACATCTCTATAACGCACTACTGTAACATCTCTATAGTGCACTACTGTAACATCTCTATAACACACTACTGTAACACATCTCTATAGCGCACTACTGTAACACATCTCTATAACACACTACTGTAACATCTCTATAGCGCACTACTGTAACATCTCTATAGCGCACTACTGTAACATCTCTATAGTGCACTACTGTAACATCTCTATAACACACTACTGTAACATCTCTATAGCGCACTACTGTAACACATCTCTATAGTGCACTACTGTAACACATCTCTATAGTGCACTACTGTAACATCTCTATAGTGCACTACTGTAACACATCTCTATAGTGCACTACTGTAACATCTCTATAGCGCACTACTGTAACATCTCTATAGTGCACTACTGTAACACATCTCTATAGTGCACTACTGTAACACATCTCTATAGTGCACTACTGTAACATCTCTATAGTGCACTACTGTAACACATCTCTATAGCGCACTACTGTAACATCTCTATAGTGCACTACTGTAACACATCTTTATAGTGCACTACTGTAACACATCTCTATAGTGCACTACTGTAACACATCTCTATAGTGCACTACTGTAACACATCTCTATAGTGCACTATTAACACATCTCTATAGTGCACTATACTACAGTTACACATCTCTATAGTGCACTAGACTACAGTAACACATCTCAACAGTGCACTAAACTACAGTAAGATCTCTATAGTGCACTATACTACAGTAACACATCTCTATAGTGGACTATACTACAGTAACACATCTCTATAGTGCACTATACTACAGTAACACATCTCTATAGTGGACTATACTACAGTAACACATCTCTATAGCGCACTATTAACACATCTCTATAGTGCACTACAGTAACATCTCTATAGTGCACTATACTACAGTAACACATCTCTATAGCGCACTATTAACACATCTCTATAGTGCACTACAGTAACATCTCTATAGTGCACTATACTACAGTAACACACTACAGTTACACATCTCTATAGTGCACTATACTACAGTAACACATCTCTATAGTGGACTATACTACAGTAACACATCTCTATAGTGCACTATACCACAGTTACACATCTCTATAGTGCACTATACTACAGTAACACATCTCTATAGTACACTATTAACACATCTCTATAGTGCACTAAACTACAGTAAGATCTCTATAGTGCACTAGACTACAGTAACACATCTCAATAGTGCACTATACTACAGTAACACCTCTCTATAGTGCACTAAACTACAGTAAAATCTCTATAGTGCACTAGACTACAGTAACACATCTCAACAGTGCACTAAACTACAGTAAGATCTCTATAGTGCACTAGACTACAGTAACACATCTCTATAGTGGACTATACTACAGTAACATCTCAATAGTGCACTATACTACAGTAACACCTCTCTATAGTGCACTAAACTACAGTAACACATCTCTATAGTGGACTATACTACAGTAACATCTCAATAGTGCACTATACTACAGTAACACCTCTCTATAGTGCACTAAACTACAGTAAGATCTCTATAGTGCACTAGACTACAGTAACACATCTCAACAGTGCACTAAACTACACTAAGATCTCTATAGTGCACTAGACTACAGTAACACATCTCTATAGTGCACTAAACTACAGTAAGATCTCTATAGTGCACTAGACTACAGTAACACATCTCTATAGTGGACTATACTACAGTAACACATCTCTATAGTGCACTAGACTACAGTAAGATCTCTATAGTGCACTATACTACAGTAACACATCTCTATAGTGCACTATACTACAGTAACTCCTCTCTATAGTGCACTAAACTACAGTAAGATCTCTATAGTGCACTAGACTACAGTAACACATCTCAACAGTGCACTAAACTACAGTAAGATCTCTATAGTGCACTAGACTACAGTAACACATCTCTATAGTGGACTATGCTACAGTAACATCTCAATAGTGCACTATACTACAGTAACACCTCTCTATAGTGCACTAAACTACAGTAAGATCTCTATAGTGCACTAGACTACAGTAACACATCTCAACAGAGCACTAAACTACAGTAAGATCTCTATAGTGCACTAGACTACAGTAACACATCTCTATAGTGCACTAAACTACAGTAAGATCTCTATAGTGCACTAGACTACAGTAACACATCTCTATAGTGGACTATACTACAGTAACACATCTCTATAGTGCACTATACTACAGTAACACATCTCTATAGTGCACTATACTACAGTAACATATCTCTATAGTGCACTATACTACAGTAACACATCTCTATAGTGCACTATACTACAGTAACACATCTCAATAGTGCACTATACTACAGTAAGATCTCTATAGTGCACTAGACTACAGTAACACATCTCAATAGTGCACTATACTACAGTAACACCTCTCTATAGTGCACTATACTACAGTAACACATCTCAATAGTGCACTATACTACAGTAAGATCTCTATAGTGCACTAGACTACAGTAACACATGTCAATAGTGCACTATACTACAGTAACACCTCTCTATAGTGCACTATACTACAGTAACACCTCTCTATAGTGCACTATACTACAGTAACACATCTCTATAGTGCACTATACTACAGTAACACATCTCAATAGTGCACTATACTACAGTAAGATCTCTATAGTGCACTAGACTACAGTAACACATCTCAATAGTGCACTATACTACAGTAACACCTCTCTATAGTGCACTAAACTACAGTAAGATCTCTATAGTGCATTAGACTACAGTAACAAATCTCAACAGTGCACTAAACTACAGTAAGATCTCTATAGTGCACTAGACTACAGTAACACATCTCGATAGTGCACTATACTACAGTAACACATCTCTATAGTGCACTATACTACAGTAACACATCTCTATAGTAACACATCTCTGACGTCATGCTGCTCACCTGCTCAGGGCCGTAGAGCGCGTCCGCGTACTCGTTGAGGAGGCTGTAGGCTTCGCTCGTGCACTTGCGCTCGTTCATGTTGCAGGTGACGAGCACCCCCTGCGCTCCCATCTCCAGCTCGCGGGAACCCTTGTGTCTCTTGTGCGCGTGTCCGCCGAAGCGCTTCCTGGTCCTCTTGTGCGTGTCAGACATAACTAGCTTTATCAAACAAATCTCCTTGAGATTAAAAAGTGTTGAAGAAACTCTGAGGGTGTAAACGCGCTCCGGGCACACGCGTGTGTGTTTGTGTCAGTCGCGCTTCAAGCGTTCCACGGCACGCGTCATACAGGGCAACGAATGGGACATTTGATTACGAAACGCGTTTTGACGCAGTTTCAAATCAGAAGTTCCATAAATATGCATCACACGAACTGTTTCATAAAAAGATAATGACATTTGCATAAATAAAAAGTTTTGGTCAACACTTGAAGCTTTTATGTATTAACAATGCATTTGTAATATGTATGTTGCAATGCATTACGCAATTTGTAATCAAAAGTTATACTGTAATATGTGCAGATTCCTGTTATATATAAAATATGTTGTTTATCATGTGTTTTAATGCATTTTTCGGTACGACTTAACAATAAGGTTCATTAGTTAACAATAATTAATGTATTAAACTCAAAATACATTTGTTACAGCCTTTATTGATCTTTGTGATTGTTAGTAAAAATACAGCTGATCATTGTTCATGTTAGTGCATTAACTAATGTTAACAAATACAACCTATGATTTCAATAATGTATTAGTAAATGTTGAAATTAATATTAACTAAGATTAATACAGTATGCTGTGTACGTGCAGTTCATTATTAGTTTATGTTAACTAATGTAGTGAACCTTATTGTAAAGTGTCACCCATTATTCTTTCTAAAGTTGTAACAATGAATAGATAAGATTTAAATGTATTATAACTGTGGTGACTGTGTGCAGTTTTATCATATAACGCAGGTGCATTACAAGGCATGATTAATAATCATTTTTAATGCATTATATATAGACTTCATGTAAAGTGTTAACACAATGTACAAGTCACCTTTAAAATAACTGCTTATTTACAAAACCATTGAATATTAAAAACAATATTTCTGTGGAGTGAATTTCATTCATAGAGAGAGTCTGAACTGGAATACATCATCACTATATACACATACACACACTACACACACACACACTGGAGACGTTTCTACAACACATCAATGTTTCTAAAATATGCATCAACTCTTTACAAAAGGTTTTATTCACAGCTTTCTTCAAGGGTTGTTCATAAATGAAAATTAGCCCATGATTTACTCTCCCTGAACTCATCCTAGGTGTGTATGACACTCTTCTCTCAGACGAACACTATCAGAGTTATATTAAACATGTCCTGGCTCTTCCCAGCTTTATAATGACAGTGAATGGCCCTTTCTGTTATAAAGTCAATAAAAGTGCATCCATCCATTATAACACTTTTATTCACTTTTATGATGCTCAGAGATGCACTTTTATGTTGAATATATGCACTTTTATGATGGACAGATGCACTTTTATGATGGACAGATGCACTTTTATGATGGACAGATGCACTTTTATGATGGATAGATGCACTTTTATGATGAATAGATGCACTTTTATGATGGACAGATGCACTTTTATGATGGATAGATGCACTTTTATGATGGACAGATGCACTTTTATGATGGATAGATGCACTTTTATGATGGACAGATGCACTTTTATCATGGATAGATGCACTTTTATGATGGACAGATGCACTTTTATGATGGACAGATGCACTTTTATCATGGATAGATGCACTTTTATGATGAATAGATGCACTTTTATGATGGACAGATGCACTTTTATCATGGATAGATGCACTTTTATGATGGACAGATGCACTTTTATGATGGACAGATGCACTTTTATGATGGATAGATGCACTTTTATGATGGACAGATGCACTTTTATGATGGATAGATGCACTTTTATGATGGATAGATGCACTTTTATGATGGACAGATGCACTTTTATGATGGATAGATGCACTTTTATGATGAATAGATGCACTTTTATGATGGACAGATGCACTTTTATCATGGATAGATGCACTTTTATGATGGACAGATGCACTTTTATGATGGACAGATGCACTTTTATGATGGATAGATGCACTTTTATGATGAATAGATGCACTTTTATGGACTTCATAACAGAAAGGGCCATTGACTGCCGTTATAAAGCTTGGAAGAGCCAGCACATGTTTAATATAACTCAGATAGTGTTCGTCTGACAGAAGAGTGTCATACACACCTAGGATGGCTTCAGGGAGAGTAAATCATGGGATATCTTCACTTGTGTGTGAGCTACCCCTTTACACTGATGACAGGCGTGACTGTGCTCATCTGAGTGCAGTGGATCTGCAGGCGTGTAGTGTTCTGGCCGTGATTGGCCCAGACTCCCACTGGAAGAAGCCGCAGCGGTGGCGTGTGACGGGGCAGCAGAAGAACACACGCCCGTGGTTCGGGCCCCCGTTCCCCACCGTCAGGCGCCGGGCCCTGCGGCCACACACACACAGAGGAGCCGTGCGCTTCCCAGAGACACTGGCAGCAGTGGGGCCAGGGGGGCGGGGCCTGAGGGGGGGTGGGGCTCTGTGAGCACTGGGGGGCGGGGCTTTGTGAATGCCGAGGGGCGTGTCTCTGCGAACACTGGGGGGCGGGGCTCTGTGAGCGCTGGAGGGCGGGGCTTTGTGAACGCTGGGGGGCGGGGCTTTGTGAATGCCGAGGGGCGTGTCTCTGCGAACACTGGGGGGCGGGGCTCTGAGAGCGCTGGAGGGCGGGGCTTTGTGGATGCTGGGGGGCGGGGCTCTGTGAGTGCTGGTGGGTGTGTCTCTGTGAATGCTGAAGGGGGCGTGGCCTAAGAAGCGAGAGAGCGGCCCGTACGGGTCTGTGTGTGTGTGTGAGTTTGTGTGTGTGAGTGTGTGAGGGACCGGTCTGGGTGTTTTAAAGAGACTGGTGGAGACACAGGAGACGGTGGGTTTGAGCCGGTCTGATGTGGTTTCGTTGGGTCTGTTCTCGTCAGGCTCCTCCCCCAGAGCAACAGGCTCCTCCCCCTCCTCGGTCAGCAGGACTCCGTCGCTCCAGCAGGCGTCTGGGGTCTCGGGGTCGTAGGTCGTGTCGGAGAGCCCGGCCAGCGCGGTGTTGCTAGTCTTCTGGAGGTTTCCCAGCGGTGTGTTTGTGCTGGAGAGGACGGTGACCAGCGACACCAGCGCTCGACACACACTCGTCTGCGGCTCGTCACACACACTCTGAGCGGCGCGACACACACTCGTCTGCGGCTCGTCACACACACTCTGAGCGGCGAGACACACACTTGGAGCGAAGCGACACACACTCGTCTGCGGCTCGTCACACACACTCTGAGCGGCGAGACACACACTTGGAGCGAAGCGACACACACTCGTCTGCGGCTCGTCACACACACTCTGAGCGGCGCGACACACACTCGTCTGCGGCTCGTCACACACACTCAGAGCAGAGCGCCACACACTCGTCTGCGGCTTGTCACACACACTCGGCGTTGCACAGATGTTCCCCCGCTGAGGTCTGGGCTTCACCAGTGCCTGAGAGAGAGAGAGAGAGAGAGAGAGAGAGAGAGAGAGAGAGAGAGAGAGATGCTGCTATAATAACCCTCAGCGCTGGCTCCTGATTGGCTGTGATGTCATGCAGGGGGCGGAGTCACTCACCCGCTGCAGAGTCCTGGTGAGGGTCATGAAACAGCCGTCACACACCATCCTCCACGCCAGCAGAGCCGTGTTCCTCGCGTCCACCAGACCTGCGCACAGAGTGTGTGTGTGTGTGTGATGATTCTGGAATCCACTGCTGCATCAATGTATATTTAATGAGTGATTATAATCTTGATTATGATCAAATATCTGTAAGGAAGCTCTAAAAAAATTTCAGAGGACTGTAAAATGAGCCAAATCAAAGTATTTCGTTGAGCTAATAGAAAAAAAACGCTAACAATCCTAGGTTATTATTTAATATTATAAATACAGTTATAAACCCTCCTATATTAAATCTAGATCCGACCCCATTGATACGCAAGAACATTTAAAACTACGATTGAGGATCTTCGAGGAATTATCCCACAAACGAGCGGAGACTCTGTAGGCCGTGTGACACAGACTGCAGTTTTTAATCATGTGAACTCATAATCAGCGGCGGCGGGGAACCCAACCGGGCCAGGTATAGCCCTAACCCTAGCCCTCAGGGGAAGGGCTGGTTTGAGACCCAACCGGGCCAGGTATAGCCCTAACCCTAGCCCTCAGCGGAAGGGGAAGGGCTGGTTTGAGACCCAACCGGGCCAGGTATAGCCCTAACCCTAGCCCTCAGGGGAAGGGGAAGGCTGGTTTGAGACCCAACCGGGCCAGGTATAGCCCTAACCCTAGCCCTCAGGGGAAGGGGAAGGCTGGTTTGAGACCCAACCGGGCCAGGTATAGCCCTAACCCTAGCCCTCAGCGGAAGGGGAAGGCTGGTTTGAGACCCAACCGGGCCAGGTATAGCCCTAACCCTAGCCCTCAGCGGAAGGGGAAGGCTGGTTTGAGTCCTGCCTGGCCGCTAGAAGCATGGCTGTGGCTCGTACACCTCGAGGTGGACTTCACTTATATGTGGTGTGCCACAAGGCTCTATCCTGGCCCCAACGCTCTTTCGCTTTATATGTTCGCCATTGGGAGACATTTTCTATAAGTATGACATCGGATTTCAGTGCTATGCAGATATATAACCGTTAACAAGCGGAGTCGCCTGGAGCCTCTCCTGTCCTGCCTGATCTCACATCATGGCTGGCTCCTGACGCTTTAGATCTGGCTGAAGACCAGAGGAACAGCACAGTTCAGTTTCAGCATCGATAGCTCCCTGAGTTTGAATGCACAGATACATCATGTGCTAAAGCCAAGTTTATTTTTCATCTGAGAAA